TGACTCACAGTTAACCCTTCAGCAGGTTTCCGAGGCTGTAAATTACACAGGAGGAGACTGCCCATCTTTCTCCTCCAGAGTTCTGATGGATTCGAACAGTACAGTTTTGTTCACCTATTATCACTCTTCCTTTCCCGTTGTTCCCCTCCTCACCTGTTCCTGCTGCATCCTATCGACCTTCATGACAGGATTAGCAGCCTCTTGTAAATAACTTATCTGAATGCTTGCTTCTTCACTATATTATCTTAGATTAGGTATGTGTTTGGTACTGGGGAAAACAGAAAGATGTGGTTGTTGCTGTCATGTGCCACCGAGTCAGAACCAGCGCAAAGCTGACCCTCAAGCAGGTCTTCAGAGACTGTCAATAGCACAGGGGAAGACTCTCCATCTCTTCTTCCACGGAGCAGCTGGTGAATTCAAATCATGTGCCTTTAGGTTGACAGCACAACCCCTCACCCACTAGGCCACCGGATGCTCGCAAGAACATCATTGGGCTTCCTGACCGATTTAGCCACATTAACAACAACAAAGCCTGTTGCCTTGATGTCAATTCCCACTTTTAGTGGCCCTATAGGATATATGAGACTTGTCACATGACCTAAGGCTGTATACTCTTTACAGAAGCAGATTATCACAACTTTCCCCACAGAGAGAAGCTGGTAGTTTCAAACTGCCAACCTTTTAGCTAACTGCCAAGTTCTTAACCATTGAGCCACCAGGGCTCCTAGTCAGACTGAAGAGTGAGGAAAAAAATGGACAGAAAGAAACTATCAATCTGTAAGCAATCATGACGAAAGAGAAGCTCAGTAAGAACAGTGAATGGAATTTCCAAGGCAAAAATATCAGAAATGGTATTTTCAAGGTATAGGTAAATCTTTTAAGTGGCTATTGTTGATGTAATGTACCATTGAGTCAGAAACAACTTATAGCTGATCCCAATGGGTTTTCAGAGCCAATAAATCGCATAGGAGAAAAATGCCCCTCTTTCTCCCATGGAGCAGCTGGGGGATTTGAACCATGGGCCTACAAGTTGGTAACACAGCTCTTTACCACTATGCCACCAGAGGTGTAAAGTAAACTATTAGTTAATAGCAATACTGGGAATTATGAAGCCAAGTTACTAGAAGGATCAATAACTACTTTGATAAATTTCTAGCATAGATTACCTTGAATTTTTTTTTTTACTCTGTACCATCAAATCAGATCTGACTGGTACAAGAGGAGACTGCCCCTCTTCTCCAGCATACCTTTGGGATTGCAGTGAAGCTTCTTGCCACTAGGCCACCAGAGCTTCCCTGAACTTATTTTTTTAACAAGTATAAAGTATTTACACACATATATTACTCCCCATTAAACAATACGGTATGTTGTTGTTATGTGCCACTGAGTCGCTTGTGACTCATAGAGACCCTATGTACAAGAGCTAAATGCTGTTCTATCCTGTGCCAACCTAGCGATCTCAAACGCACTTATTCCCACAGCTCCAGTCACAGAATCGATCCATCTCATTGAAGGTCTTCCTCTCCTTCGCCGCCCCTCCACTCTGCCAAACATGATGTCCGTCTCCAAGGACCAGTCCCTCCTTGCAACATGCCCAAAGTATGTCAGATGAAGCTTCAGAATCCTTGACTCCAAGGAGCATTCTGGCTTCACCTTCTCC